ACGCAGGGCTTAGTGACGTGCTGGACACAGGACCCACCTGAGAGTGACCCTGCAGAGCCCACCATAGATGCTGCACAGCCCATCTGAGACTGTCTATGGTGGGCTCTGAAGGGGTCTCAGGTGGGCTCGTCAGGGCTGTATCCCTCCTTTCCTTCCTTCCTAGCCCCTCTTACCTGCACACATGGCCTCGTCTGCCGAGAAAAAGAAAGGATAGTAGAATGGCATGAAGATTGAGAGAAAATTAAGTAAGGAAAGGAAAGCAGGAATGAAGAATGAGAGGGAATGAAGGAAAGAAAGGACAGCAGAAAAAAGGAAAGCAGAAAGGAAAGAAAGAAAAAGGTAGGAATGAAAAATGAGAATGAAGAAAAGAAAGGAAACCAGGAAGGAAGAAAAAAAGGAAAGCAGGAAGGTAAGCAATAAGGAAAAGAATAAAGGAAAGAAAGAAAGCTGGGAAGGAAGTTGAGAAAGGAAGGCAGGAAGAAAGAGAGGGATGGAAGGAAGGACGCTTGGGTGAAAAAAAAAAATAGGAGCAGGAAGAATAGGCAGAATTAAATAAAGTATCAAAGCAGGAATGTTGGGATGAAATGAAGGAAATAAAGGTAAGCAGAAAGAATGGAAGAGAATGAAGGCAAGAAATAATGTAGGAAAGCAGAAAAAATGAGAGGAAATGAATTAGAGCTCGAAGGAAGGAAAGCAAGAAACAAAAAACGAATGCAACAAGAAATTAATAGGGAAAAAGAAGTAAAGGAAACAATGAAGGCAGGAGGAATAGGAGGGAAAGAAAGGAAAGAAGAAGAGAAAGAAAGGAATCCAGGATGAATGGAATAAAAGAAAGAAAGGGAGACAGGAGTGAAGGAAAGAAAGGAAGGCGGGAATGAAGGAAAGAAAGCAAAGCATGAAGGGATAAAGGGAATAAATGAAGAAAGAGTTTCTGTTCAGAGCACCACTTTATCCTAAAAACATCTTGAAAATTCTAGAGCACTTGGGACTCTGGGTAGAGTTATACTAACCTGGACATGATTCCAGGTCATCACTCTGTGGAGATGCTTTAAATTCTAGCATATTTGTAGATTTCAGATTAAAAGACAGGTCACCCTGCCTCAGGTTAAAGGAACAAAATAGCCGCTAGTGTTTATTTAATCTTCCATGTTCTCTGCATCATTTGGACATGTGTGTGAAATCATTGCATTCAATTCAATGTTTTCTGTTATTCTGTGATATCTCCAGCGGACAGACTCTTGGGCCAGCTGCTAGACTAATACAAGGACACTCACGAAGCCGATAGATTGTCATAGGAACAAATCAGCCATGTGCCTGCATTAAACATCAAGCCATAAGCACAGATGTACAAAAGTAAACATTTGAGCCAGTCACATCTGATCCGACGCTGATGCATTGGCTGTGACAGTGCTCCACACATAGGCATTCATTGTAGCTGTCTATATTATTAGTGTCAATTCTGACTCCTTCTCAGCCTGCCTGGCTACTGATTATGATAAGCCTGCAGTGATGTGTGAAGAAAACCCTTTCATAACTCAATAAGAGAAACAACAAAGGAGTCTTTCTATGTTGTCAGATAATAAGCAAATGTGTATTCATAAGAATTATTTGCCTGTTCTGAATATATTTAATTTAGATTGACAAATCCAGTAAATTAAAGCTGTGAGCTGAATATTCAAGCTCACATTTAAAGAGTACCTGTTATCTTTAGGGCTCATGCACACTGGCGTAAATACAGGCATGTATTGGTGAGCAGCATAAAATACGCCTGCATTTGCGGCACCCGGGAGCTTCGGCTGCTCTATTTTCATGGCCATAGGAATGTATTGATGGAATATGCTGTATATGCATGTAAACGCCAATACTTGCATTTACACAAGCATGTGTATAGGTGTAAATTCCTGAATGCAAAACTTAAGGCTGATTATACCCTTAGCCAGCCTTTTTGCGTACTGGACAAGTACAGTGAATGCAGCCTATACTTATGCGTGTGTGTTAATTTGCATATAAGCACATATTATGTGTTCTTTCTGTATGTACTGTATGTGTGCATTACTGCTGAATGGCACCCCAGTGCACATATCCAGTATAAACACACGCACCTGCCCTTTAGCACATCACAAAGCACCGTTATGAATGTTCTGCATATTGTAGTGTGCTGCAATGAATGGCCACAAAATAGCAGGTGCACTTTCTGTGCATTGAGATTGGTTAAGGACCAATCCAAAGTATATGAGCGGCCTTGATGAGACAAGCATCAGTGCTCACAAATGTACATGTTGAACACGCATAAGTGTGAAATGAGCCTATAAGATTACTAGGAAATGTAAAATTTATGTGGCATTAGGAAATCATACATGGGTACATTTTCTGTAATTTCATGCAAATGAGCCAGAGTTTAATACATGAACTGTGCTGTTTCTTTAAGGTGTCATGATAGCAAAAAAAACAAAATCTTGCAATCTGATGTTGATATAGGGTTACAGCATATAATGATAGGCTACTAGGATTCTGGATTAGGATTCTGTGTAGGATTCAGTATATGAATTCCTTTTAATTTTCATACATCTATTTATATATTTCTCTACATTCACATGTAAACCAAGGTGCCCAATAAACGTCACAGTGGCAAGGTCTTTGACAGACTCTAACACTGCCGGGTTAAAGGAGGAATGATGGGACTGTTCAACTCTCTCCGTTTAATTACATTGTATTCCTTTTTTTCAAACACTTGCAGCAACTTCTTATGCACCCCAATTCCTATCTCCGGTGCCGTACCTATAATGAGACAGCCTGAGGCTGTTGCCTTAGACGGCATCTCTTTGGGTCATGTGGGGCAGCAGCATGTTCACTCTGCTACATAATGTATGCAGTGTGCCGGCTGCCCCCTTTCCGGGCCAGAGCATTCCAGTTTGCTAAGAGCCGGGTGGGGAGATGTAAAGGGCCTTATACATCTACCTGCCCAGCTCTTAGCAATCTGGGATGCTCTGTCCAGCGTCCCACCCAGCTCCTGGCAACCAGTGACATCAGTGGTTGCCAGGAGCTGGGGGGGACGCTGGACAGAGCATGCCAGGTTGCTAAGAGCTTGCACAGGGTGGCGTCACCAGCCCCACTCCATCACACACTGTGTGAACCACTCACCCCCCGCCCCTCATGGGGCAATAAGGCTAGCGATACCCCAGCCTATCACTGTCACTTTTGATAGACAGCTTGTTCTTTATGGGTATGTAATTGTAAATAAAGGCATGTTAAATAAAGAAGAGTCCACTTACTGAATACTGTCATTGCATGAACACATCGATCCCATACAGTTAGCAGAATGCAAAGGGTTTTTTGCAGTAGTGGCCCTTTAACTAATCCTGCTTCTTGAATTTCAGAAAGATTCCCTCGTGGCAATTATTAATGTTCATTTCATCATTCCTGTGTTCAAGAGATACACATACAGTATTCACTTTGTGTAATGTTATTTTGAAGACAGATGCGGACTGTCAACAAACACACACTACAATTCTATCAATGAATATGACCTAGTCATAGAAAAATGTGATCAAAGATCTCCACCTACTGGTGATATATACTAACCAGAAAAATGGCCACAATTCTATCAGATACAAATATGTGATTATTGTAGAAATGAGAAAGCCTGGGGATTTTATGGTTGGCTGACAATACATAAGTCCATGGTATGAAATAATAATGAGGATAATGTCAGTCTTGCTCTTGCTTGGTTGCTGAATCTTTCACACTGTGTATGTCAGAGGTTTAGGAGCAGCGGGGTATGTAACCAGCTGACGCATTGTGATCATTGATTGATTTGTTTGTTATGTGTATTGACAGAGGCCTAATGTTTAATAGATCTGAAATATTTCAATTTTTACATTATGAATATGAAATGATTGTTTGGAGAATTATGGTTATAGATTAACTCATTGGTTGATTGAGAATCCAACCTATTGACTTACCATCTTTTTTATTTATTTATTTATTTTTATTTATTTTCTCTAGACATGATATTATGTATATTAATGTTTATATAAAGCTATTGTTGCATTGGATAGAACTTTAGGGGATAGGAATCTCTATCAGGTTTCTATTACCTTTTGTGCCCCTGCTGGGGAGATTCACTTTTGCTGTTTCTCCTGTTGGCCATTATCAAGGGGAGAAAAACTGATCGGGGATTGGGTGAGTATATCTTTATTTTAGACACTAGACTAAAACAAGCACTTAACCCTTGCAGTTCGGAGGTAGCTCCACTGCAATGGTTAATTTGTCATTTGCCTGGAATTCTTTTTTAATGATTTGGGACTGGTTATAATGAATGTGTAATGTAAGCAACAGTGTTATAGAAACAGGGGAAGTAGATGCTTCAGCTGCAACCCTACTTTCCCCCATGACTGATGGGCTCCTCACGTCTGCCTAGCCATTTCCAAACACCTTCTGGATCACCTTCACCTGGAACAAGTGTTTGACAAATTCTTTTCTTGTAGAGAATAGGGGGCATACATTGCAAGGTGAAGGGTTTCTAGGAGTTAGGGCAGAGGGTTTTAGAAAGAGAGTATGGGGTTATGAGGGTTGGGGGTTATTAGCAGTAGGAGGTATTATAAGAGTTGGTACGGGATTGGCTCTCAGAAACTCTGCCTGCACTGGGGCTCAGTTATGTCAAGATACACATGTCAAGATACACCACTGCTAACTAATTGTGATACAGTAGTTTAAATGATAACAATAATTATGAAAATATTAATTCTAAGCTCCCCCCTCCCGCCCACTTTTACAATATTCTCTATATCCCTAATTACATACCCCAGATCAGAGTGTAACTTGGATCATGAGCTGCAGCCTATGACAGACCTTTTCTCTACAGGCCCTATTGGGCAAGCCGACAGATAGCAATGACTGTCATGACACCAAGTGGTGAATATCATATCATGTCTGTGGATGCTGTGAAACCTTTTACATTTAGTAGATGTCAATAACCTATTCATTTATTTTGTATTTAGTTGGGACAGAGCAAGCACTCAAGCATTAGGAGTTCAGAAGATGGCAACCTAAACAACATAAGCCAAACACCCTCAAGATATCAGGTAAGTACACATCAATCATAATGCACTCAGGTGGTGATGGCTCTGCACTTCATTTGTCAGGTCTGTTTAAACTTTTACAGCAATTATAACAGACCCCCTCTGTCCTTCTGGAATTCTAATCTACTTTTTATAATGGAGAATCTAACAGTAAGAGTAGAATATTCCTATGTTGTAGCTAGGGTTGCCACCTGTCCAGGAATCACCCGGACAGTCCGGGTTTTGAATGCTGTGTCCAGGTTTCATGGCAGCAGAAACCCGGACACAAGATGTCAGGCAGACGGGGCAACCAAAATTAAGATAGGGGCTACTGGCTCCCCACTGAAAATTGTCTCAGCTGTGATATTTACATATGAATGTGTATTTACATACTCATTCTCCCCAAAAACATGCCTGCACGTCACCAAAAAATAAACCACAAATGGTTGCGCTGGAAAAAACTTAGTGACAAAAAATTATAACCAGCTGCAACAATGTATGGTGTAAACCGTGACAAAGTGAATAGCAGATGTGTAGCGCTAGGTAATCAAAATATGAATGGGACAGAGCAACCAGCCTCAGTGACCTCCTAGTTGCTGTGATGTGTGAATCAATAAACACAAAATAAGATAAAGTAAAGAATAAAGTAAAAAATATAAATAATATTGAAAAATGCAAATAAATAATAACTGAATAACCTGTGTGTGTTAGTTAATTCATTCTCAGTGTATGAATGAACACAATCAATGCCGCATGTAGCGCGTCACCAAAGTGTTCAGGTTTCGCTTGAAGAAAAGGTGGCAACCCTAATAGGTAGAGAGAGATTTTACCCCTGAATTCTCCAAGATACCTAAAGGGCTGGAGGGTGCCTCAGCACTCCAGACTTTACTAGTGACACCATATGATCAAACTCAAAACTGCTTTACTTTTCACTGTATCACTTTTACTCTGAAAGAGTGTTTGTTGTTTTTTTTAGTGTGATTTTGCACATTTTTTTATGCGCGTTTTACAGGCATTTTCTGTTCATATGTAAGAGCGTTTTATGGCGTGTTTTCAGCTCGTTTTCACTTGTCCAATGAAAACTAATCTCAGCTGCAAAAACACACTAAAAAAAGCATGAAAAAGCGCAAAAACGCACTGATCAGCGCATTTCCATTGACGTCTATGGACCAAAACGAGCTGATAAGCGCCAAAAGAAGCTCATGGACTAGTTTACACATCTGGCGCATTTTTACGCGCGATTCGGCGCATTTGCGTGCACGACCCCCTTAGGAATACACGGGACTTTAATTTGCATGCGTTTCAGGGCAGGAAAAAAACACACAATGAAAGGCCCTGGTTACAGGCCCTGGCTACAAGCATACAGTCATACCTAAATAACTAACTAGATATTTATTCTTGATTTCATGTATTTACAACATCAAATAACTATTATATTGTAAAGTAGATGATATATTATTCATTATTAACATTTAACAATGCCTTTTTTATCCATTTTGTAGAAAATAATGAAGCGTCTCATAAAGCGTTATGTGCTTAAAGCTCAGGTTGACAAGGAGAGCGATGAAGTTAATGAAGGTGAGTTCGGCCAGTCATCAACTTTGTATATGGGGTTTATGACCCAGGAGTAGACAGATACATTAAGTGCAAAAGCCAATAAGAGAAATCCTATGTATGGCTGTAACTTTCCTGGCACACTGGCTCTCTGCTTCTTGTGGTTTGCCCAGACCTGTGGTTACCTATCTCGTCCTATTATGTCTGTACCAGCCCTTGAAGTAACCACTAAGCCTAGTGTGTTTTAGCGGTCCACAATATTTATTGTTGTGTGTAGAATGACCAATCCGTGGAATGATTACAGTGCACTCTGAAATTCCTTTTAACCTTTTTACATTTTAACCTTTATGTTTTTTTGTAAAGCCGTAATACAAATTGCAAGTGTAAGATCACACACGCTCCATTGCCACCCACAAATTACAGCATTTATGTAATTGGTGAACAAAACATACCATGAACATATATTATGTCATTTATATTCTTAGTATGATAGGACACGAAAAATAAGCATTTCCACTATATTTGTTTAAGAAGATGATCTCTGCTTTCAAAAATGGGAGACAGTATTGGAAAAATGGTTTCTCTGCCTTACATCATATATTTCCTGACATCATTGCTGATTCATCAAATGTGAAAAGAACATGAGAATTGCTATAACAACCACAAAACTTGATGCAGGGTATGACTGCCCAGGGCCCAATAAGCTCCTCCCTGCCTGCATATGACTGTGCTCAAGTCTGGTGATTGGCTGCTCAAGTCCGTGCAATATGAAAGGGGGGGCAGGGAGGGGGGGCAGAATAGGTGTCAAATATTCCCCCATACCAAAACATTTATATCCCAATAATATAACTTATAGCATGAAGCTTTAACATATGCAACAAATACATTGTATAAACATAGAATTGATATTACATCTATAAAATAGAGATTCCTCAGGCTCACAAAACCAAGCTTACCTCAGCCTAGTTAAAATTTAAGTAATCCCTTGTTTTCTCCATGCAAGGCGAAGCAGTAGGTTTTCTTTAATTCTGCCCTACCCAGCAGCTTATAATCACTTACATGAAGATTATATCACAGATTATACAGGGCTAAGGATTCTCCCAGCCCCCACATAACAGAGCTGGGCTGTTCACCAAGCACCAACACCACCAGATGAGAAGAGGAATAAGGGCCTGTGTCAGCAGGCATGGATAATTTACTTTAGGCATCAGTTCAAAATGCTTCTGAGATCATTCAGAATTCATTGACAATTGCAGTTGACCTGCTGTTGCATTTTCACAAACTTGTATGAAGTGAGCAAAAGCCATCAACACTAGACCATAGCCACAGGCTGCCCCATAGCAGATAAACTGAGCAGTGTTGGAGTGAAGGAAAGGTGAGCATGGATCCCTGGGGAATGGAGCATGGATAAAGCACAGGTTTGCCTTAAGTTATTCTGACTCTTGTTAGTGAAATGTGACCAGTCCATATGCAGGCACTGCTGTTGTATAATATGGCAAAGGTACTTACCATGTGATCTTTTATACCTCAACAGACTTTTTCATTTTCATTGTTTTTAATGTCTTTAGGAGAACTAAAGGAGATTAAGCAAGACATCTCTAGTTTGCGCTATGAGCTCCTTGAGGAGAAATCCCACAACACAGAAGACTTGGCGGAATTGATCAGAAAGCTCGGAGAAAGACTGTCATTTTAACCTAAGCATCAGTAATGTGATAATGGGCGTACATGTCTAGCTATTTTTATGTAAGGAAGTGTCCATGTGACACGGCCCCTCTTTTGTCAAAGTGACTTACAGAGGCTCTTCAGAGAATGTTCCTTGCCATTTACTGATGGGAGTCATCTATAAACATTCACCTTATGAATCTCCACAGGAGCACAAATAGCTGTGTGAAATCTGAGCCCTTATCTGACATCAACTGTGCTTAGATATGATGGGTATGGAGGAAGATGCTGCCGTAGTCCTGATTAGACATTCATTGCAGCAACTCAGCTATCGAACAGTTTATTGACATCCATACATGCATCAGTTTAATTAAATCAGACATTTTTATAATCAACTGGATATCTTAATAAAATATAATTTGATGCTAACAATAAATTTCAGATGCATCTGACATCTTCTAATGAAAAATGTATAGGAAAAAAAAAAAAACTAAAATTCAAAGCGATAGTCCCTCAATCGATCGGGACACTGCCGTTCTCCAGTCCAGCCTACTACTTTCATCTTCAGTTCAATCCTGCAAAGTCGGTTGAAGGTATTTACAATATCAATGGAAAACAGTCATTAGCTGATAGACCTAATTAAAATATTAAAACTATTGTTTCATCAAACAATTAAAATGATACATATATGGCCAATTATGGAACAAATAACATGATATATATACTGTTTAGTCAGCATAACCACGGCTGATTTCCAATAGGGGTTTAGATATCACATGGCCCTTGGCTCTCCTTAAAAGGCAGATGGCTTTATGTCACAGGATATCCTGATAGGGCATAGGTGGAAAGAGATGAACAATATCCTGTAGAGCCACTTTGACGCTGTGTATATTGCTGCAATGCCAACTGAACATTATATTTTCATCATTCTTTCCAGGAGCATAAATACCTGTGTAAAGTGTGAGTTCTTATCTGACATCATCTTTTGCTTAGATATGATAGGCGATGAGGTAGATCCTGTCAGAGGTATTAACTGCATAATTATGGCAGCACCTACTCTAACCAGAGTCTGTGTAATGCTGGCCATGCACGCATTGACTTTTCATGAGATCAGCTTTTATGTTTGAAATAATTTTTAGATGCAAAAAGTAAATTCCATAT